AAAAAAAAAAAAAAAAACTTTATAATATATCATACATAGGCTTATTCTGAACAGGAATGCAAGGGCAGCAGATTAGGGGTAAGTGTTGCTTAGGTATAGGCTATAGGGGAGAGAGATCCTCCTATAGGGTAGGAATCCTGGAAGCCCTTTATGAGAGAGCACTGGAAGAGGACATTAAAGGATAGAAGCCTTAAACTGGAAAGAGATATGGAGGTGCAGAGGCAGGACAAATAATAATAGGCAGTCAAAAATGGAGCAGAGCCTTTTGAATTAGACAGTGTAACTCTATGATGTGGATGATGAGTTTCCATTGATAGATGTCCCAAGAGGTTCCTTCAGCCATACTCAGTTGTCTCTCTTTTTTTGTCTGCAGTTATTGATGGCTGCCTTTTGAGGAAGCATTGGCCAGAATAGTTTGCTCTGGGTGTTGTCATATGTTACTTTTGCTTCTATTATTTATTTTTAAGGAGATCTCTTTGCTGCCACTTTCCTCATTAAGAATGGGGCATTGGTCAATGCTGCTACATTGGGTGCCCAGGAGACACCGTTACACCTTGTGGCATCATACAGTTCAAAGAAACATTCAGCAGATGTGATGTCTGAGATGGCACAGATTGCAGAGGCCCTCTTGCAGGCTGGTGCCAACCCCAACATGCAAGACAGCAAAGGCAGGTAAGTTGGGAAGCAGGTAGACTGTGGCCCTATTCCCAGGAGGTTATTTCATGGTAGCACATAATTGGCATACAGAGACTTAATGTTCTTTAGTTTGGCATTATTCAGTCTGATTTTTATTGAAGTCACAAAAATTGATTTATGGTACTAGTATCATTCCTAAGGCTAACATACATATGGGGTAACTAAAGTCTTTGAATTTCTAAGCAAATTATATCCTCATTGTATTGGAGGGAACGTGAGTGATCATCTAAACCAATTTCTCCAAGGGAACCTTCTTCTAGTATTTGAATTACTTGGGTAGTTTGAAGAAGAGGAGCACACTCACTCCATGCAATTTATTTTATTTCAATGAGGTCTAATTGTTAGAAAATTCTCTATATTAAACTCAAATTTAGGGCGGCACCTATAGCTCAGTGGGTAGGGTGCCAGCACATGCACCAGGGCTGGTGGGTTCGAGTCTAGCCCCAGCTTGCTAAAAACAAACAAACAGAAAAATAGCCTGGTGTTGTGGTGGGTGCCGGTAGTCCCAGCTACTTAGGAGGCTGAGGCAAGAGAATCGCTTAAGCCTAAGAGTTTAAGGTTACTGTGAGCTATGACTCAATAGCACACTACCGAGAGCAACAAAGTGAGACTATGTCTCCAGAAATAAAAAATAATCCAGTTTTACCTTCTTTTACTTGTTTTTTTAAATTGATACAAAATATTAATGAATGTATATATTTTTCAGAGTCAATTACACCTTCTCACATATACTTCCTCAATAGACAGCTCTTCATTTGCACAGCTTGCTGTCATAGCTCACTTTAGCCTTGAGCTTGAGTTTTTGGGCTAACACAAGCCTTTGGCCTCAGCCTCCCGGGTATGTAGGGTAGGCATTCCCCACTATACTCCACCATGCCCAGTTAATTACTGCCCAGACTGATCTCTGATTCTTGATATCAAGTGATCCTTACACCTTGACCTCTCAAAGTGCTGGAACTATAGGTATCAGCCATGGTGCCTGGCTTTGCTATCTCCTTTCATAGCATAGCTGTTTATATTTGTCAGTATTTATTGTGTTCCTTTTGCCCTTTCTCAGAAATATTTAGTTGAGGACTCCTTGTGGTTTACAATCTAAGAAGGGGAGGTGCTTGCTTTTGGGACAGTGGCATAGGAGGCCCTGATTGGCAGTTAAGCCCCTGAGTCACCTCCACAGTTGTGACCCACTAGTCATCATGGAAGCTCAATATTTTATGCCTATATTAACTCTTTCCAAAAATAAAAGATTTCTGGGAAGTTTGGTTATCAGGAAAATGGGTTTTTGTGATGGGTAAAGTAAAAAAAAAAAAAAAAAAAAAAAAAGAAGGCTCTCTATGAACTCTCAATATCACATAATAATTACTTTGTCTTCCAAAATAATTGCGTTCTTTTTCTCCTCCGTTGATTCTGTGATTTTTTTCCCCCCTCCAACTTCAGTAAACTCATAGTCTGTCATTCCAAGATAGATGCTGGCCTCAGAGGCCCTGTGCTCTGCAGTGGTACTTTAGGTTACTCAATTTTTGCCTGTTGCTTTTCTGAGTGTGTTTGAGTATAATAGAAAATGATGGAGAAGAAAGTTTCTTTACAGAAAATGCACATACTTATGGTAGGAACTACTTTTTTCAAAGAAAATAGTATATATACTTTCAGTAAGGGGTCAATATTGAAGTGAAGAGTATTTTAGAGCTCTTCCTTTCATTGATTCTTATTTTGGCCACTGAATAAATGGTAACACATGGGCAAATTCATTTTCATGTTTTGATACTTGGTCATGGTTGTGGAAAAACTGTTCATTGAAGAAATGTGGCATGGTGACTCACACCCGTAATGTCAGCACTTTGAGAGGTTGAAGCAGAAGAATTGCTTGAGGGCAGGAGTTCAAGACCAGCCTGGGCAACATAGCGAGACCCAATATCTACAAAAAATAAAAAAATTAACCCAGGCATAGTGTCTAATGTAAGACTAGCACTGTAGTGCTGTAATCCTAGCACTCTGGGAGGCCATAGTGGGAGGATTGCTTGAAGTCAGGAGTTTGAGACCAGCCTGAGCAAAGAGAGACCCCCATCTCTACTAAAAGCAGAAAAATTAGCCAGATGTTGTAGAGGATGGCTTGAGCTCAGGAGTTTGAGGTTGCTGTGAGCTTGGCTAAGGCCATGGCACTCTCCTAGGCAATAGAACAAGACTCTGTTTCAAAAAAAAAAAAAAAAAAAAATTAGTTGGGGATAGTGGTGTGCTCCTGCTGTTCAGAAGACTGAGGTAGGAGGATTGCTTGAGCCCAGGCGTTTGAGGTTGCTGTGAGCTATGATGCACTCTAGCCCCTGCAATAGAGTGAGACCATATCTCAAAAAAATAAAAATAGGCTCGGCACCTATAGCATAGAGGTTACGGCACCAGCCACATGCCCTGAAGTTGGTGGGTTCGAATCTGGCCCGGCCAGTTGAAATCAACAATGACAACTGCAAGAAAAAATAGTTGGGCCTTGTGGCGGGTGCCTGTAGTCCCAGCTACTGGGAGGTGAGGCCCGAGAATCGCTTAAGCCCAAGACTTTGAGGTTGCTGTGAGCTGTGATGCTATGGCATTCTACCGAGGGCAACATAGAAAGACCCTGTCTAAAAAATAAAAATTAAAAAGAAATAAAAATAAAGAAATGTGGGGTTTCTTGTGGATAGTGATTCTGCCTAGGATTTGAGTAGTCCTGAATTGCTACTTCTTTTTTATCCTGCAGGACTCCTTTACACTTGTCCATCATGGCCAGAAATGAATATGTGTTTAACCAACTGCTGCACTGTAAACAGTACGTAGAAAGACATACAGGAAATAAAAAAGCATTCGTGAGTGTGGGATTGTGAATGAAAAATAATTGTTTTTAAATGTCTTTTAATGTTATAAATTTTAATAAGTAAAATAAAATAAAAATTTGTCATTTCATAAAGTATAACAAAAAAGAATAAAGTTTTTGGTAATACAGAGTGTCCGAAGATGAGATTTCCTGCTTACGTTACCTCTTATTTCAGGTTAGATTTAGAATTAAAAGATCACGAGGGCAGCACAGCTCTGTGGCTTGCAGTGCAGTACATCACTGTGTCTTCTGACCAGTCTGTGAACCCCTTTGAAGACCTCCCTGTTGTAAATGGGACTTCATTTGATGAAAACAGCTTTGCAGCTAGACTCATTCAGCGTGGCAGCAACACCGATGCACCTGATACGATTACAGGTAGAGCATGATAAACCCCAAAAACAGTCTGGAGGCTCTAAGAAGTATTGTGTAATTGTTTTGAGGAAAAATTTAGAAACTGAATGGCACACTATAAGAATTATTTTATAGTTAAATTTTAAATAACAATAAAATCCTGAGTTGTTTTAAATACTGTGCTTCAAAAAAAATTTAACCAGACATCAAGTTGTCTTTTAAGGTAAAACACATTTATTTTATGCAGTGGTTTGATTATCAGACTTTTTGGACTCAAAATTCTTTTTACTCTCTTAAAAATTATATCTCCAAGAGCTTTTGTTTGGGTGGGTTATAGCTTTTTTTTGAGACAGAGCCTCAAGCTGTCACCCTGGATAGAGTGCCAAGGCATCACAGCTCACAGCAACCTCCAATTCCTGGGCTCAAGCGAGTCTCCTGCCTCTGCCTCCCAAGTAGCTGGGACTACAGGCACCCACCACAACGCCTGGCTATTTTTTAGTTGCAGCCATCATTGTTGTTTGGCGGGTCCGGTCTGGATTCAGGTGTATGTGGCTGACACCTTAGCCGCTTGAGCCACAGGCGCTGAGCCAATTATAGCTTTGATATTTGTCATATTCGAAATTAAAATTGTTAAAAATGTACTAATTTAATATTAACAAACTATTATATATTAACAATATTCTTTATGAATATATTTTCACAAGAACATTTATTTGGAAGAGTAGTTATTTTCTTTTGCCTCTTATTCATTACTTTCAGATGTATTGTTTTGGTTAAAGTGCTACATACATGAAAAAAATAAACCACAGATATACAGTTGGAAAAGGGAACTCTGTTTAAATATCCTTTTTAGATAACTGTGGATACATTGTGGAATAATATGAAATCATATCAGTGAACTTCAGTACTTTGTTATGCTAAAATCTATGGTTCATCTATGTTTGTTTTTTTTTTTTGAGACAGAGCCTCAAGCTGTCCTCTTGGGTAGAGTGCTGTGACATCACAGCTCACAGCAACCTCCCACTTCTAGGCTCAAGCGAGTCTCCTGCCTCAGCTTCCCAAGTAGCTGGGACCACACGTGCCCGCCACAGCACCTGGCTATTTTTTGGTTGCAGCCATCGTTGTTTGGTGGTCCCTGGCTGGATTTGAACCCGCCACCTTAGGTGTATGTGGCTAGTTCCTTAGCCACTTAAGCCACACACACCAAGCCCTGTCTGTGTTTTGAATGGTTATTTTCTCTATCATGACTCCATTATCTGGAAGATAATGGTTCACTGAGTTACACAGATTTTCACCTGAGAACTTAAATTTTATCACTTGGCACAAATTTTGTCAATCATTTTTCTTAAAGAGACAGGCTTGCTGGCTTGGCGCCTATGGCTCAAGCAGCTAAGGCGCCAGCCACATACACCTGAGCTGGTGGGTTTGAATCCAACCTGGGCCCGACAAACAACAATGACGGCTGCAATCAAAAAAAAGCTGGGCATTGTGGCGGGCGCCTATAGTCCCAGCTACTTGGGAGGCGGAGGCAGGGGACTCGCCTGAGCCCAGAAGTTGGAGGTTGCTGTGAGCTGTGATGCTATGGCACTCTATCCAGGGCAACAGCTTGAGGCTCTGTCTCAAAACAAAACAAAAAAAACAAAAGAAAAAACACAGGCTTGCTTTGTTCATTAAAAAAAAAGTCTACCAAATACATTTGAATAATAGTATATTAATCTTTTTTTTCAAGCAAAAATGCTGTTCCATGCGGAAAGCTGCTAGTTTAGCTCTTAGCTTAAATAGCAGCACAAATGGTTTTCCTCTAGGCAGCATTGTGTTCTGGTACATAGCAGAAGTAGATTTCTGCATACTTCTTATCTTGTCATGCAGAACATTTTAAAGACATGCATTCCATGTTGAGATTTAATAAAAATCATGGTTATGCAATGCTTACCAACCAGGATGTGTTCTGAGAAATGCATTATTAGGCAATTATGTCATTATGCAATCATCATCTAGTATATGCACACAAACCAAATGGGATGACTTACTAGCTTGTATGATACAGCTTATATGATCACAACTTATAACAACCTCAAATTTCTGGACTCAAGCGATTCTCCTGCCTCAGCCTCCTGAGTAGCTGGGACTATAGGAGGGCAGCATTATGCCCCACTAAGTTTTAAATTTTTTTGTGGAGATGGGGTCTTACTCTCTTGCCAGTGGTAGTCTCCAACTCCTGGCCCTCAAGTGGAACCTCCTGTCTGGGCCTCCCAATTTTTTTTTTCCTTAGAGACAGAGTCTCACTGTGTCACCCTCAGTAGAGTGCTATAGTGTCACAGCTCACAGCAACCTCCAGCTTTTGGGCTTTGGCGATTCTCTTGCCTCAGTCTCCTGAGTAGCTGGGACTACAGATGCCCACCACAATGCTTGATTATTTTTTTGTTGCAGTTTGGCCGGGACTGGGTTTGAACCCACCATCCTCGGTATATGGGGCTGGCACCCTACTCACTGAGCCACAGGATTTTATTTATTTATTTTTGTTTTTAGAGACAGAGTTTTGTTTTGTCACCCTCAGTAGAGTGCTGTGGTGTCACAGCTCACAGCAACCTCCA